TACGAACTCACCAAAACAGCTTTCATTTCTTTGTGTTTGGCCCCAAATATAGATCACTGCTTTCTTAAATATCTCTATAAATTATGTTTGCCACAGAACACAAAATAAAAAAGAAAACGCGGCAATTCAGCCGCTACCAGCGTCCGGAATTGCGCCTACGCAGGCTGGCACAGCCCACTGATGAGAAACTCCACAGCCCAGTGCAGTCGGGCAACACTGACATACACTCTCAAAACCAGGGACGCGCGCTGTAAATCGCTTCGTTCGAGACTGCCGCTGGAAAGGTCTATATTCAGTGGAAATTTGATAAAAAAATATAGGTGGTTCTTCACTCTCCAAAAAGTCTGTTTTATGTCTTCTATGCAAATTTATACGATCACTTAACTTTTGCATTGGATGCATTAGAGGACTTGGAAGATAAAGGTTTTTTTTAAAAGAATTCGGTTCTGTCACACGGATTAAAATTTTTTTGCAGCATTACCATTAAGAGGTCTTAACTGCGTGTATTAGGTAGAGCAGTGGTTCTGAGCCAATCACGTTTCGAGGACCCAATCCTGATCAGAGGAAGGGATGGGGGACCCCATCCATCAGAGGGGAGGGAGAGGGGGGGTATTGGATGATTTCAATTATAAAGGGGTAAATGAAAACTAAATGTCTCTGGAACTCTAAAACAGAGAGTAGTCAGCCCTACTCACCTGGCACTTTTCTTGCTTAACCTGACTAAAGCCTGGTTCAGACAGTTGCGTTTCGGCTGCGAGAAATCAGGATATCCCTGCTGCTTTTATCGCGTGTCAAGATGATTCCTTGGATTGGATTCCAAGCTTCATACGAAGCACAAATGTGCCGGTGACTAGCTTTTGGTTCTCGACGCAACGCAGTCAAACGCACTCAAACGGCCTTAAGAGTCAATGACTTCGGGGATCCCAAGAAGGCCTTCTGGGACTCTGAAGGCCACCTGGAACCTTGAAGGGTCCGAGGACCCCCGTTCGAGAACCACTGAGGTAGAGGTTGGCTGTTATTAGAAAATACAGGCTAGGTGGCACAAACTGCTGTCCAATTTAAAGGGTTCAGGCACATGCACCCACCCATCCATGTTAACCAAGCAGAGTTGCCTGCTTTCCTGATGTACACTCATGTTCTACAAGGTAATCTTTGCACATGACGAGTAGAGTGACACTCGTTAAATCACTTGTACAAGCTACGTCTACTACAAATGAGCGCAATTTATTTAGAGTTGCATCGCTCCGCTCTTGTGCCTGTCCGTTCTTGGAACGGAGTGTTTCGCAGAAAACCTAGGAGGCGCCTTCTCCCTGCCTTGTTACAGGACAGTGGCAGCCAGGGCTTCGAAGAGGTGTACGCACAGTGCCTGCGCTGCTGCAACGGATTCTTTGACCAGCTTAGCAGCTGAGCGCCACCCTGGGCCGTTCAACCCTGGGCCTCGCTGTCGTTGATAAACCACTGCTTGTACAAGGTGCCCAGGCTGCCCGTCGACACAAGCAGCTGTTGACCTGTCAAAGTTCAAATAAACATTTTCTTGCAGGCCTGCACTCCACTTACTTGAACTAAAAGTTGCTTCAGACATTAGTATTTGAGTGTGAACCAGTGACTCCTCGCTTTGCACTATGACACATTGCACTATGGCAACGTCAATTGCCTTAGCAACCATCTAGTACTAGGTTGTCACGAGCGGTTGTAATGCAGTCAGCCACGCACTCCAGCACAAGTAAGTGTCTGAACCAGCCCCGAAGACTCTACTCTCGTAGTATGGTCACAAATGAAGACAAGGAGAGTGAATATTAAACTGAAAATAAAGGTTTAATCAGCAAACTTGTGCCAGAAAGTATGGTGGAGGAACAAACTTTGATACGCTACTCAAAAGAAAAATGAAAAGAAAAACTAAAGTAAGAAACGGGTTGGTTGCAACGTCTGTACTTCCCCAGCTCAAACTTCAGACTCGCTGGCAAGCTTTTGCCCCTTGCGCTTCTATTCACACCTAAATAACTTCAGCCACTGCTGCTACTGCCTGATGTAAAAGGTACAATTTTTAGCATCCATACAATCCTAATCAATCGAGCATACCCAACAGTGTTGCCAATGAAACACTTGTCGCTAGATTTAACTACTTTTAGGGTCAACAACTAGCTACCACAAACTTCCTTCAGCTGCAAGTAGCTAAGATAGTTTTTCTGTGGAATCTAGCTCCCAATTTAGCTATTTTCACAGATTTTAGCTTTTATCTAACGAATTTAGTTCAAGGTTAGCAACGTGGTGTCACCGCAGTTGGAAAACATCAAGTTCGGACAAAACTATCTCCCTCTTCCCGACATCTTCCACTAAATGATCAGAGTAACCGTAATCGGGGTGCCAAACCTTTCACCCTGACTAGTCTCTGGCTGGCTGCAGTCCTCCCAACGAAGCCAAAGCCTGCATCCAGGAGGCTCGCTGACACCAGTGCAAAATTAGGCGCACATTAAACAAACGGTGCCACAACGTGTACCAACCACATGAACTAAGATGAGCAGCAAGAACGAGAGAAAAATTTGAAGTAAAGCGTGTCCTCTCGTCATATTATTAATTAAACATGCCATCGACAGCGTAACCATTCTTAGCACCCTGTTTTACATATCTGTGCAACTTATGTATGTTAAAAATAGTTTTCGTTCCCATGTGTATTTGGCTTCGTGTCCTGTGTTGTATCGTTTGCATATTGTCAGAATCGATTCTATCATTCTCGTTAGACTTCTCCTGGTGAGTTTTCTGGGTCTCAATTATTGTGTAATGGCATAATAGATAAATATTGAATTTCTAAATAAAGCACGTCTTTATAGACCTTACATTATTTTTATGCTTTACTTTTTTTTTTTCTATTTAAAGGGCAACTCCACTTCCGAAAATTTTGGTATATGAGTGATTTCGCATTAAAAAGCCATTTAAAAGACACTACGTCATTTGCTTCGCGAAAAATGGGATATATATAGTTTTTAATCTAATTTTAAACACAAGCAGGAATCGAAACCGAACCTTCGGCTCCGTCCGGCAACATTGGCCTCGGACCGCCAAGAAGTAGTCTGTTCTGTCCAAGGAGGTTAAAAGTACTAGGACGGTGCATGTTGCAATATTGGTGAAGCCTAGTCATAAAAAGTTTAATCGATGTTGTGGCCAACGTGACCGTAGATCTCTCTGGCAATTGGTGCGCGTGACATGTCACGTGTGAGATGGATGGTAGATTGTAGAAGGACTCCTAGCAGGCTTTCGCGCGCTCCGTCCGGTAGGTTTTATCAGATCGAAGGCTAGACTGTGGTATATTCTAGTACCCCACAGCTAGACGAAGGCTAGCTACGGTCACGTGATGTGGTCACGTTGGCATGGTAAGTGAGGAGAGCAAGGGGAAAAATGAGAAAGGCGAGGCGTCAAGGGAGCATGGCTTGTGGAGGCTACGCGGCTGGCGTCATGCCCTCTCCTATGCTTGTATCCTCCTTGGGTGTAGAACAAAAGACAAAAAATATGGCGACAGGCAACGTCTGATAAACTTGAAGCGTTGCCCCCCCCCCCTGTGCACATAGTGTCCGTAGTGTGGACGAGACTTCGAGAGGCAATAATCACAAACGGTGAGACGACGGTGCGGTTGTGACGCGGGAAACGGCGGGGCGGCCGGACGGCTCCCAAGAAGCGCGCTGTGCAGGCACGTTACACCAATCACATGGACACCACTGAGCGCCGAGAGGAAACGTTGCGGACATCACCCTGCACGCTTGCCCAGAGAAGTAGAAACAAGCAAAAGGAGGCAATGGTGATGACGTATAGCTCAATGTTGGCTTTGTCCACGCTGCAGCCTTGACTGCGCTGCCAATTGCGTCTCGATTCACCCGGTAGAGTCAGCCGAGTTTGGCAACTTGGCGAGTTGCAAAGTTTGCCGGACCGTTTAACAAACATTTAGACAGAAGTAAGCCATAATCTTCTACGTGTGATCTTCCTAAGTGATACTCAAAAAGACTCTGTTTTTTGTTGGTTTTTCAAAAACAAAAATGAAGCGAAGTTGCCCTTTAAACACTTCCCTTTCGTCAGTTACAGGTGAAGAAAGGTTTTCGAGGGAAAGGAGGGCAGGGTAGGAGGAAGCGAGGAAGCAGATGGAATGCTAAAGAGGAGAGGAGGAGGCTTCCTCCTCTCCAGCATTTCGTCTGCATCTTTCTCCCCAGCCAGAAAACTTTTCATTTAAATACTTTTTTAAAAAGTACTGTAAACGACTCAATTTCCGCGGGCTCAAATTTTCGCGAAGTGGGTCAAAGCTGAAAATTTGGAATTATTCGCGGGTTCTAATTTTCACGAATCGAGCGTAGCTTCCGTAGTGTTCACATATTGCCCGAATTGTGTGTAGGCGATTCGCAAAAATTAGGTCCTCGTGAAAATTTAGCCGTCTAATTACTTATCTCAAGTCGACAACTGTCGGATTTTTGTATATGCCTCCAGCGACTGTATTTCAACATGCAAATAAAATGAATGAACTAATTTTCCGGTTTTGGATCCCCCTACACCGTCCGCGGTGGCGCTCCAGGTGTAGGCGCCGGCATTGTTCAGGCGGCTGTCTTCGCAAAAGCGGGCCAGCGGGCCTTGAAGTCTCCCAGCTTGTGGTCAGGCTTGTAACCGAGCAGCGCGAGGGCCCGAGCACCCTCACGACCCAAGACACGGTGTTCCCGGTCTCTCACGGGAATCATGGTCTGGTCCGCCATCTGTATGAGGTCTTGAGATAACTTCACCACTGAGCTCGGTGCGTAGGCATTCACACAAGAAACAGTCGAAACAGATGCGGAAAACTAAACATTGCCAACCTTTGGTACGCCAATGAACGCAAACTGCCCCACAGTGTCCCACACAAACTGCACCAGTGAACTGCACAAACTTCGAACGCCATAGAGATCAGTGGCCGCCAATCACTTCTTCGCTGGATTATGGATTGGCTTCGGCCGGCTAAAGAATTATCGTCGGAGCCATTTTTGATGATGATGAAGGCAACGCCGCAACGCTCCACAGCCGGTTTCATTCCATGATCGCTGTGAACTCGCTTTTACAGCCCACAAAAGCCGACGTTATCTGTCTGCGCACGGGAATCTCAAACAGCCAGCAATCGAGAGACGACAACTGCAGCTGCAGGAAAAGCAAGAAATCATAAATGGCAGCCTCTTCCAAGTCTGCGCTTTTCGTCTGCCTGGGTAACTGCTTGTTTGCCGGCTTGCTGGTCATGCCTGAAACAGAGACTGCTCATTAAGTCCTACCTTTCCAGGAAACATCTGCCGATCTCCGATTGCAGAAGCAGTCTTTCGACATGTTGCCAAGGAAAGAGGAGTCCTGGCTGAGGTACGTAATTTTCGGGCGGCGGAGAAAAGCTCACCGGAGAAAAGCTCACCGGAGAAAAGCTCACCGGAGATAAGCTCACCGGAGAAAAGCTCACCGCAAAAAAGGCAGATGCGGAGAAAAGCTCACCGCGGCATTTGAGCGGATGCGAAGAAAAGCTTACCGATTTTTTTTTTAACTTAGCGGATTTTGCATTAAACGTTGTAATTTAACATAATTCGCATTCGTCACTTCATTAAAAATACGTCCACTTTTTTGCAATATTCTTGAAGTTCATTTGGCATATTTACTAATTTTACAGAAATTAGTAATCACCCATTCTGTATATTAATGAAGCCGCAAGTATAAAATCAGAACATCGTACCCCGGTAAAAAAGACAATCTATTGACAACTGGCAAGGTGCCGTCGGTAGCTCTGTCAAATAAATATGTTTTTTCTTTGCGAGCTAATACGAATAGCGGTGTGTGAACCGTTTCAGTTTCAAATTTTGTGTAATGCCTAATAAATAAGTAGTTATTTTTTTTATGTAATCAGTGTCGGCTACGCTGTTTGTTTGTTTTTTCTGTTGATCTCACTAACAAAACTTAAGTTGCGAGAACGGCTTCGTCCTGTCGTGTTTGTTGTCTTCGCTCCGTCGTCGTCGTTTGAGCGGTTTTTATCATGTATAACGTTTACCAACTCGCCCTATTCGCCACCTTACTGAAGACTAGTTCTTATATAGGTCACGAGTAACAACGGTGCCAGTGAGCAGCTCTGAAGGTCACGGGTGGCTCGTCGTAGAAAGGCACTATCACACAAAGACAACATCTGGAAACACCAGCACGAACGGCTAGAAAACGTGCTTTTCCGTGAAAGAAAAAAAGTTTTGATATCCTACTGACTGTTTTGTCCTATTTTCAAAAATTAACAAAAGCTTCAAAGAGAATTTCAGGCACTGCGTTGTTGCGCGCATGCACTTTCGGATTTTCGGCATTTACAGTTTTGATTTTTAGGTTTTAGGCAGACATTACTAAGTTTTCGAACTTTTTTCGGTTCTTCAAGTTCATACAAATTTGAGTTGGGCTTTCGTTGCCTACAGAGTAAGCCGCAGAAAACACTCGCCCGCAATTATTAATTAGGAAATAATATACCCAATAAGCTTAACAAATAATACAAAAAAGGACATTGTCTTTTTTACAAAGCTGACAAATTTTAATGATAATAAATTGATATATGTTACGCATGATCCAATAGCCTCCATACAAAAAGAAGAAAAAAAAATCGGTGAGCTTTTCTCCGCATCCGCCGGTTTTGCGGTGAGCTTTTCTCCGGTGAGCTTTTCTCCGGTGAGCTTATCTCCGGTGAGCTTTTCTCCGGTGAGCTTTTCTCCGGGATTTGTAATTTTCAGCATTGCCAACAATGTGCGCGACAATCGCCAACGAAGAACGCAACCGAAACTGAACTGTCGGCTCCTCACCATTGAGTACAATGGAGATTAGTTTAAACTGTTTTGTGACTTATTGGAATGCACCTTCGCAGTGGAACATCGACAGTGCAGCAACAGGCGACTGGCACGTCGGCAGCAAACCAGACAGGAGAGCAATCCAATGCATGAAGGACCACAACGTCGAAATGGACCATCGGGCTAGACAGGCAAGTTCACGGCCAAGGCACTTCACCGAAAACGTTTACGTCCGACTAGGTGCCGAGAAAGTGCGAATTTTGTTCACCAGGTCACACTCGACGACTTCCGCGACTTCGACTACATCTTCGCCATGGATAACGCCAACTTGAATGACCTGAAAGATTTGGCGCCTAAGGGCTCCAAAGCCAAAGTCGTGCTGCTTGGCAAATATGATCCTGAAGGTCAGACAATCATCCGTGATCCTTATTACGTAAGTCATTCTCATTTCTTGTGCCATTTGGTGCCCCAAACACTACCTACATTACGAAGTTTTTTTTTTTTTTCCCACTTTTTCCTTACTAGACATGCAGGTTTATTCATTCACATACACCGACTACCCGAAAAAGAAAAAAAAAAAAAAAATATATATATATATAACACTTAGAATAGAACACTTCTAAGCCGACTAACTTTACTTAGACTTATTGTCTTCCTTTGGGTGCCACTGCCACATACCAAGCCACGTCTCTCGGAATGCAGCCGAAATACGTTGCAGTTCGGTTGCCCACGACACTGGTACGCTTCTCAATGGAGGATGCAAACGCTGCCCAGGGTTGACGTGCTGTCGCCACGCTTGCTGCACCATCTACAGTGCGGCGTACAACATTGTCAGCCATGTGCTCTGTCTCCTAAACTTTTCCCGTCATTGAGTCCTTCCGTCGGTTGGATCGGCATGGATCATTGAACAATAGACCGATGTCACCAGCCTGTTTGACTGCGCCACCGCTGCCGCAATGCCATCGAGGAAACTTTAGTCTTCCTGCACGTGCGACAACTTCGCTGGAGCTCTGCGCGAGTGGAGCACGAAACGGCACGAGCCCTCGCGTGCACGGCCGTCTGCCTGCTGTAAACTAAAGTTATGGCGGCATCGAACACTTAGTGAAATCGGTCTATTGGTATCTTGCAGGAAGGAGCTTCCGAGATAAATTAAAGGACCTTTATTCACACCTATAGTGGAGACTGAGCAGTTTTTCAGCTACATACAAGCTTTTTGTATGTAGCTGCACTTGGCACTTGAAAGGTTTTGATCGTCGAACTGGCTCATGCATGGCGGAACTTCACAGCACATAGAAGTTACAACAGTGAGCCACAGGGTTCGAGCCTTTCTACCATTCAAGCAAGGCGAGCATCACTCAAGGCTTCATGTTTAAGCTTACCTCATCCCAGTTTTGTAAAGCCGTACAGCAATACCATCAATGGTGCAACAATATAGCTCATTCGAAATGCTATGTTTGCACGAATGCTCATGCAAAGGCAGCGAGCTGCATGTGCGCGGCGTCACAACAACACCGACATTGTAAAATCTGGTGAGCGAGCGGGCATTCATCAAGAAGCCGGCAAATAGGCTTCGTGCCTCCCAACATACCTCAACGTTCAAGTAGCAGTGGACGACACGGTCGACATGACCTATATTAGGCACAGGCATGCGTTTGCGCCTCTGAATCGCGGCCAGCGATTCCTCGCTGTTACTGTCGCTCTCGATTTTACGAATCAAAAGCACCAACATCAAAGCCTGCTTGCTAAATGCCGCCGCCATGTTGACACTGAAAAACCTGACTATTTTCTTGGTGCGCCACTGTGCAACACCCATGCACACGCATTCCGTGCGCGCCGCCATAGGAGGACGTTTAGTGCTGCTCCACCAGTGGCGGGGAGCTCAGTGAAGGATGCCATTTGGTGTGCACCCGTGAACTCAAAGAAAGACACTATTGCCCACAACATGGCGTCCGTTTCAAAGCCGACAGCAGACAAAAGTTCGCCCAACAAAAGCTAATTTTCGAGAAAAATAAATTAATTTTTGTCGGCAGCAGTTAAAAATACATTGGTGATCTTTACTTCTAGATTAGCAAGCAAGTCCATGCTTTTTTTTTAGCTCTCGGTAAACAAAACTCTTAGGCGCCCGTATCCGGCTTGAGCGGCATCGCCTGTCAGTGTAACTGCGCGGTACATTATGGGAAACGTCCCATAATGCAACGCACAAGTCTCACTCGTGACCCGCGCATTGCATTATGGGATGTTTCCCATAATGACGTCACGAGGGTCTGCACATTGCATTATGGAAAACATCCCATGATGCAACACCTTCTCCCTCATACCCCTCCCTCCTCCTCCTCAAGAGCTGCGCTCTAATTCGGCATTGCAGGGAAATGTAAATGTCCAATTTTTTTTAATAGAACCCCTCCCAATCTCAAAATTTTGCTCGTGCATGTTCCATTTTATTAGGGAAGTTGACATTGTATGACGACCTATATATCACTTTAGTCTCCATCCCATGACCTATGCATTAAAATGTAAAATTAATGTCACACGACCCGACTTCACGGGACCCATACATCAATTCCGTTTCCCCGCTAAATATGACGGGGGAAATAGATGTCGTGTGACCTATGCGTCATCAGGTTGCTGCTATAGACCTTTGCAAAAAGAGCGCTCTGGCCGCCGCCATTTTGCGAATCGAGCGACCCCTATCAGCCAGAAATTTCTGGCACCCGCCCGAGCTGTGGAAACCCGGTCAGCGTGACTCCCCCACCTGCATTTTGCATTTGGAGTTCGGCAGCTTTTCTTGGAAGTTTTTACTTTATTCGCCTGTTTAGGATGCTTACCCTTTGTATGTTATCTTCCAGTGTGAGAGCCAGAGAATACCAAGGCTCGTAGCCTGCTCGGCCTTCGCAGGAAACGAACGAAGAGAGCGAACGTCAAGCAGCCCGCGACGCAGGCAGTTCGACGTTCTTGGAGGATTATTCTCTTGAGATAATCTACAAAAAGCCTTCCCGGCTGTCTTCCGGGTCATCGCAAAAAATAGCTGATAGGGTCGGGTGTGGGGACAGAATAGACACGTTCGTTTATTTGCTTTGAAGCTGTGCAAAAACGTTGCTCCCTTCTACATGTTCCCCGAAACACGCCGGATTCCGTCCGATTGTCGTGAAGTGACTATCGTCGACACTGTATATTGGATATGCGGTGTTATGCGAGACCTTTCTCAAATCCTGTTCGGATAACACGGCACCGTGGGGTACGTACAATATATTGTTCGATTGATGCGACTCGTTGAATTTCATGTTGTGGGCGGGAAATATCCATGCAGTTCGGACATCCTGTGTGGTCAAATATTTTGACCTTTATAGATTGACACGGCCGAGTGTACGGTGCCGTAAAACGAGTGTACGGTGCCGTAAAACGATGAACATAAAATGAAACAAACATTCCAGTTGCATTTGTTCCGTCGCGTACGAACTCACCAAAACAGCTTTCATTTCTTTGTGTTTGTCCCCAAATATAGATCACTGCTTTCTTAAATATCTCTATAAATTATGTTTGCCACAGAACACAAAATAAAAAAGAAAACGCGGCAATTCAGCCGCTACCAGCGTCCGGAATTGCGCCTACGCAGGCTGGCACAGCCCACTGATGAGAAACTCCACAGCCCAGTGCAGTCGGGCAACACTGACATACACTCTCAAAACCAGGGACGCGCGCTGTAAATCGCTTCGTTCGAGACTGCCGCTGGAAAGGTCTATATTCAGTGGAAATTTGATAAAAAAATATAGGTGGTTCTTCACTCTCCAAAAAGTCTGTTTTATGTCTTCTATGCAAATTTATACGATCACTTAACTTTTGCATTGGATGCATTAGAGGACTTGGAAGATAAAGGTTTTTTTTAAAAGAATTCGGTTCTGTCACACGGATTAAAATTTTTTTGCAGCATTACCATTAAGAGGTCTTAACTGCGTGTATTAGGTAGAGCAGTGGTTCTGAGCCAATCACGTTTCGAGGACCCAATCCTGATCAGAGGAAGGGATGGGGGACCCCATCCATCAGAGGGGAGGGAGAGGGGGGGTATTGGATGATTTCAATTATAAAGGGGTAAATGAAAACTAAATGTCTCTGGAACTCTAAAACAGAGAGTAGTCAGCCCTACTCACCTGGCACTTTTCTTGCTTAACCTGACTAAAGCCTGGTTCAGACAGTTGCGTTTCGGCTGCGAGAAATCAGGATATCCCTGCTGCTTTTATCGCGTGTCAAGATGATTCCTTGGATTGGATTCCAAGCTTCATACGAAGCACAAATGTGCCGGTGACTAGCTTTTGGTTCTCGACGCAACGCAGTCAAACGGCCTTAAGAGTCAATGACTTCGGGGATCCCAAGAAGGCCTTCTGGGACTCTGAAGGCCACCTGGAACCTTGAAGGGTCCGAGGACTCCCGTTCGAGAACCACTGAGGTAGAGGTTGGCTGTTATTAGAAAATACAGGCTAGGTGGCACAAACTGCTGTCCAATTTAAAGGGTTCAGGCACATGCACCCACCCATCCATGTTAACCAAGCAGAGTTGCCTGCTTTCCTGATGTACACTCATGTTCCACAAGGTAATCTTTGCACATGACGAGTAGAGTGACACTCGTTAAATCACTTGTACAAGCTACGTCTACTACAAATGAGCGCAATTTATTTAGAGTTGCATCGCTCCGCTCTTGTGCCTGTCCGTTCTTGGAACGGAGTGTTTCGCAGAAAACCTTGGAAGAGCCTTTTCCCTGCCTTGTTACAGGACAGCAACAGCCAGGGCTTCGAAGAAGTGTACGCCCAGTGCATGCGCTGCTGCAATGCATTCTTTGACCAGCTCAGCAGCTGAGCGCCACCCTGGGCCGTTTGGCAGCGCAGGCGAGCCTTTCCTCCCGCTCGCGCTTTTTCTCCAAGTACTTGCTGTCGTTGCTGAACCATTGTTTGTACAGGGTGGCCAGGCTGCCCGTCGATGCAGGCAACTGTTGACCTGTTCCAAGTTGAAGTTTGAATAAATATTATTGTCTCGCAAGCCTGCACTTCACTCATAGAAACTGTGAAGGCTGGTTCAGACATTTGCATTTGAGTGTGAACTTTTGACTCCCCACATTCCACCGTGACACGCTGCACTATGGCAACGTGAGTTACCATAGTAACTCTCACAGTAGGCAGTCACAAGCGGTCGTAACACAGTCAGTTAGTCTAAAACGTAAGTGTCAGACTCTGAACCAGCCCTAACAAATTTCAGGTCTGTTGACTCTATGCTTGTAACTACTGTTTGCAAATAATTTAGCCACGCATAACTCGAGATGGAGAAGCGTGTACGACAGTGTGCAACGAGACATTCGAAGAGCCATAACAAACAATTGGCCGTTTCCATAATCTACAATAAAATAAATGTAAACTTCGTTCGTGAACAAAAAAAAAATTGTGGGTGCTACGATAACGAGGTTGGAGCTTGAATCTTTTGAGATTATTGACTAACCTTTGAGCTGTTCCGAGAGGCACTGGTTCATGTCCTTGAGCACCGCAGCCCAGCAAGGCAGTTCGCTCGCATCACCGGAACCTGGCTCTGGCAGTTGCATACATTGCCAACACTTGACATCCTGCTGCACAAGCAAATGGAACGGAAACGCGTTTGGCACTGGGCCCTTGTTACAAACACTACTCAACCTTGGTCTTTCGCAAAGAACTCTGCAAATCCATATGTCGTAGCCACAAACCATAGCTAGAGTGCCGTGTTTCTGGTTTAAACCGAAGAAAGCAGAAAAACATTCGCCGGTAAAATGTTTGACTATGCGAATTCATCCCAAAAACACAATAACAAAAAAGAAAAAATATATAATTTGCATATGTTTTGTTGCCAGCTGTCCAGAGGACTAGAGAGTCTTTTCAAATGTGGGTCGACTAACAAAACAGGAGCTTATCTTGTCAGGTTGTGTTCAGGGCCCGTTTGCTCGAAGCGCCAACCGCGGCTAAAGTTAGCCGCAGTACCTAGGAGAGGGATTTTGAAATCATGTGACTGGCTCGGTAGGGATGCAGGGAAACATGGCGGTGCCCCGGTGAGTGAGCGCCGTTCGCTTTGGAACTAATATGTCTTAGCTGCCATATCAGCTATGACATATTGCATAGTCAGCAACGAATGGTGCAGGAGGCTTTCGCTTTGCCTTACCTCACTTAAATCGTAAAGCATGAGCAATGACCTTGCCGCATTTTTTAGACAGTCTTTCAATTCTGGCCATTCCTGAGCCTAAATTAACGCGATAATTGTTGGCATGACAATGTGTGAGGCCCCCCCTTGAGTTCTGGTGTTGGTGAAAACACAATCATAAGTACTTTGTCTTGTAATAAAAAATGTTGGGATTTTCCCCATTCAAGTTTTGTTGAGTAGCCGTCTCCAGAGAAATAAAAACTATATGTTGTGGACAGCCATATAAATTTTGTGTAGAACAAAATGGCGAATGTTTCAGGGACACTATTGATTCTTAACGAGAATAATAATCGAAATCCATGTTGTTGGTCGGTTTTGTTTCTTGAGACACATGCCGGGTTCCGCTTTTGTTTTAATCAAGTCGGTTTTGTGTGCCTCTAATATGACCCCCTTCTTTGCCTTCCCCTCTCCTTACCACAATTCGTAGAGACCCCCCAAAACTCACGGGAGGCTTTAAGCACTGGATGTGTCCCACTAAGAAAGTCCCTTCTCGGATGGATGGATAGATGTTAATGGCTATACCCTTCGTAACGGGCGGTAGCTTGCGCCACCTAGCCCAAGTCTAAAAAGACAAAAACATGATTCCTCCCGCCCTTTTAAGACCAAATTTTCTCCCTCTAACTATCGCCAGGCAGTGTGGGATATCACCACGATGACTTTCGGGGGATCGGGCCAAAAAAACTAAAAACATCACCCCCCTGCCTCTTCCCCCCGGCGAGGAAGTCGCCAATTTTCCTCTGGTCAAACCTTGTCGGCGTTACCCCAGCACCGGACCCACTGGGAGACAGAGTTGAGACTTTGGGCTGGAGCAACGCGGGAGGGAGTCCAAATTTTCCTCTGTACCACCTGGCACCCCAGCTGTGCTAGTTAGTTTTACTCCAATTTTTCCTGGATAATTTTCACCAATCTTCTAATCGCCTCTTTGTCACTGTAATCCTTTTCTCTTCCGTCTTTCCATCGTCGCTAGTAAAACCCAGGGCCCCGGCCAAATCCGTTACCCCTTCAGGGACGGCAGGGCGAAGTCCCGTGCACTCCAAAACCAAGTGTTCTACTGTCTCACTATCATTATGGCAGGGCAGGCGGCACACAATGTGTCTGTCTCCTGAAATTGAGCCCTGTACGTCCTCGTCCTCAAAGCTCCCATTCTTGCCTCGAACAGCAAAGCACTTCCCAGTGAATTGTCAAACAGTTTTTCCTTTCTTACGTCATGCTTTCGTGACCTGTACACTGTTGAAGCTGATTTCTCCTGCATCCTCCCCTCCCATATTTTCCTCTCTGCCTCTTTCACTGAAGTAGTCTGTTCAGCCCCATCACCAGTGTGTAGGTATTTAAATGTAAACTTTCGGGTTAGGTTTTTTTTAAACTTTTCATGTATAAATACTTGAATATCTTCCGGGCCCACTGAAATATCGTCCATTTCGGTCAATTTTTGTTAAAATTTCAACTTAAGTAATTGCCTTCCTGCTCTCAAAAGACGACCATCCCATGTCCCCCTGTACTCCCTCATTTGGTGTTTTTCCATGAGCTGCCAGTGCCAATCTGCCTACGCTTCTTTGTTGAATTTCTAACCCTGATTGAACCTCAGATTTCATGCACAGTACTGCATTGCCAAAAGACGGTCCCGGTACCATCACTCCTTTCCATATATGTACCTCTGACCACTTCATATCTGTTATAGTTCCATAGTGCCTTGAGCTTCATAATAGATGAATTTCTTTTCCCTTTTCTAATTATAGAAACTGACGAAAGAAGGGTTCCCAGCAGCAGGCCAACCTCTTTGGTAGGGCTCGCTGGAGATGGAACAGTGGCCATTCACTGGGAAGTTGAGGAGGCGCCATTGGCCGAAAGCAGGCTGGGCATGTTCCAGGGTGTCTTCGCAAATTAGAATGTGGCCAGCCAGAAGCTGCGAATAATAATCCTGGCAGTGGTCGCGAGAAACAGAAATTAGCAAGAATGTCAGAGTAACTGTTCAATCCCCACCCCTGCCCGTTTCAACCTGGATGAGTATCGTACCGGCGTGCGGTCGTGTATCACTACTGCGTGGTGCACGTTAAAGACCCCAGGCTAGCGGTTGTACTACACTGGCTAAATTGCTCATCTGCAGCTAGGAGACTCGTCGCCCGTCGAGGCAGACAAAGTTGTAGGCTGTATAAACATACACACAACCCAATTTTTTTTTTTTTTTTTTGTCAGTAACTTTTGGCGACAGAAAATGTGGTGCACGTGATGTTTCGATCACAGTGCAAAATCATGGTGGAAGATATATAAAGACATAGGAGATATAAAAAGGTTGCAAGATTAGCAGAACGATTGGTGTAATCCGTACGCCAGGTGCCGAAGGCCGGGAATCTACCGTCCAATTGTTCAAACTCCATTCGAGCAAAACTGAGTTGGAGCAGCACATTTGTTTCTTGCACCTTTTTGCATGATCATAATCGAAACATCACGTGCACCATATTTCTAACCATGAAAAGTTACTACATTTAACTCTTATGCACTCGTTAAAACCGTTTCTCGCTACCATTTTCGGCTTCTGGTTGGCCAAGAGAGCATGTCAACCCCTCATTCTGCGTCCGGTGGACGCCCTGGCCCTGCCCGCTTCTCCCATTGACCAAACTCTCTCTATATATACAACTCTGAGGGGGGCCAAAGAGCCTCATGAATAACAAATGGATGGTAGGTTACGCCACCTGGTCTAAAAATTTAGCAACCATAATTTCGTCGTTGCAGTGCAAGCGATCGCTCACCGTGGGTCCAGTCGCAGGGCTGTACAAACAGACTGGGTTTGACGCATCTGTGCCCACGACCCAGAGGGAGCCCTCTTCGTCAAAGCAGATGTCCCGAGGCGGCGAACAGTGCTCCACCCGCTGCAGCACTCGAAGGCAGTCTGCTTCCCATCTCAGCAGAAGGATGTCGCACGTCCTGCAAAGATTGACGCAGACAATCCAGATGACATCTCCAACTTGGCTACCGGCATAGAGTTAGTTTAATACTCGAGAGAGAAGGGTCCCATACATTTTGGCCACTTTGAAACGGTAGGGCATAGAATGCTAGCTGTGCTTTGATATACACAAAGCAGCAGCAGAACATCACTCCCAAGGCTTGCATCTAGTTTTTTTAGAGCGCAGCTCTTAAAAGCCCGTTTCCGGCTTGAGCGGCGTCGGCGTCGGCGTCACCAAGGTCAACCCGAGGTCACGTGACCCCCCAAGGTGACCCCCTCGCCCCGAGGTCAGGTGACCCCCCCGGAGCATATTAAAGAATGAGGGGAGCAGGAGGAGGAGGAGGCGTCTACCCTCCCCTCGGTACCCTTCCCTCCTCCTCCTCAAGAGCTGCGCTCCAATTCGGCATTACAGGGAGTTGTAAATGGCTTTCCCTTTTTATCTCTAGCTTTAATTCGCACAAAAATGTGGATGTCGCGCATTGAGCACTCCAGCGACCTCGACACATCGTTGCAAACCGAACGGGCCTAACGTGCCTAACGTATCGTCTGCTTTCTTTCTCAGCTCTTCTGTCACTCTTTCTCTCGCTCAATCAGGGGCGTAAAGACGGGAGCAGAATGCAACAAATCGTGCGCGCTGACATCGGAGCTCCTGAGAAAAAGAACAAGAAAGCGACAGAGACGCAGTGAAAGAAAGCAGAAGACTGACTGGGCGTGTTCGTTTTGCCGCGATGACTTGAAGTTGTTTGAGCACTCGTCGGCTTTATTTCTTTTTATACAATGTGCGACGCCGGTGTTTTCCCCGAGTAAGCTCGAAACAAAGCTAAGAAAATATAAGTACAGACCTTCGAGTGATATTTTCCTAGAAAATATAGTAAGGGTG